TACTTTAGCATTCCAATCCCCTATAATGAGAAGAACCTCTTTCTTTGGTGTCAGTTCTAGAAGGTGTTGTAAGTCGTCATAGAACTGGTCAATTTCAGCCTTTTCAGCATCAGTGGTTGGTGCATAAACTTGGATTACTGTGATGTTGAAAGTTCTGTCTTGGATTCGTATTGAAATCATTCTATCATTTTTGAGATTGTATCCCAATACAGCTTTCCCCACTCTTTTGTTGACTATGAGGGCTACTCCATTTCTCCTACGGGATCCTTGCCCACAATAGTGGATATGATAATCATCTGAATTGAATTCGCTCATTCCTATCCATTTTAGTTCACTGACACCCAGGATGTCAATGTTTATTCTTGCCATCTCCTGTTTGGCCACATCCAGCTTACCAAGGTTCATAGATCCTACATTCCAGGTTCCTAGGCAGTATTTTTCTTTGCAGCATCGGACTTTCCTTTCACTTTCAGGTGCGTCCACAGCTGAGCGTCCTTTCTACTTTGGCCCAACCACTTCATTAGCTCTGGAGCTACTTGTCCTTGTCCTCTGCTCTTCCTTATCTTCCCTCTTCCAGCGTCATATCTTTTATCCTTTTGTTTCTGTCCATAGAGTTTTCTTGGCAAAGATACTGGAGTGGCTTGCCAGTTCCTGCTCCAGGTGGATCGCGTTTAGTCAGAACTCTCCACTATGTCCTGTCCGTCTTGGGTGCCCCTGCATGGCATAGCCCATAGCTTCTCTGAATTAATCAAGCCCCTTAACCATGACAAGGCAGCAATCCGTGAAGGGGCTCTTGGTAGTAGTAAATCTTACTTGTTTAGGCCATAAAAGTTATGACAAAATATAGGTTTTGAGACCTGGGGTTGTATTGCTCCCAGTTTAGACATGTGAGTCACCTTCCTAGAACTTGTTATGGAACTTTAACAAACAAAATTGCCTTATGGGAGGCACAAAGTTGCTTTATTTGAATATATATTTATGTCATATATTCATATGCCGCCCAGCTTAATGGCATGTACTACTCTGGGCAGTTACCAACGACGGCCCATTCCACCCCTCATTCCAGTCAGCTCAGAACAGAGTAGTAAATCACTCTTTTCATGGACACCCATTGTCCCTACATGTAGAAAATGAGCATGTTAGGAAGAAGTGTTGGACGTAGTCTCTCCTCGATTCCTGTTGCTACAGGTGGATAGCTTGGGTGAGAGCAGCCCAACCGCTCATCTCTGTGTTAACAGCCCGAGGAGGTCCTGTACAAGGAGGGCGAATTTCACCACTTGATTTTGCTCATTGAATCCAAATGAATGTGAGGTGGCTGGGGAAGAAAGACACAAAAAACACGTTAGAAGATCTCTCAACCTCTCTTTGGTAACATATAAATGCTAGGCTAAAGAACTCCCTCTTCTGTATGGCATTTTTGGTATTTTTCCTTGTATAAAATCACACTTTTTCCTAAAACCATTAGAGGAAAAATTGAGGGTCGTCTTATACACGGAAGGAGGAGGCGGCGAAGGAGCAGCCACGCTTGGCCGCCTCTCACGGCTACCCATGGACTACTGCCTCCAGTGCCAGTTTGCCTCCTCCAGTGCCACTCGTGGGCTCCCTTTGAGCAGGGGACAAGGTGACGGTGTGAGCTGGAGGTGAGCCCGCAAGTGGTGCTGGAGGAGGCCATTGGTCAGCGGCAGCAGTAGTCAATGAGCAGCCATGAGAGGCGGCTGAGCGTGGCTGCTCCTTCACCTCTGCCTCCTGCTGCTGCCTCCGCCACCACCACTGTCCAACCACACAATCACTTCCTCCAGCACCACCCGCAGGGCTCACCTCCAGCTCACGCCCCCACCTTGTCCCCTGCCCGTAGGGAGCCCGCGAGTGGCATTGGAGGAGGTGATTGTGTGGCGGCGGCAGCAGCAGTCATGAGGGGTGGCCGAGCACGGCTGCTCCTTCGCCTCCGGCTCCGGAAAAGTTTCAAAATTGGGGGTCGTCTTATACATTGGGGGTGTTATACATGGAAAAATATTTATTTTTAATTTTTAAAATTATTTTTGTATTTACTGTTTTAAATTTTATTTCTGGTTCTTCACATCCACATGGATTTCTCTTTTTATGCCTTTGTGGGCTGATCTATTATGATTGTAGCTTTATTTATTTGTGTTTATATAAACCATTTTGAAGGGACGTGGTGGTGCTGCGGGTTAAACTGCAGAAACCTCTGTGCCGCAAGGTCAGACCATCACTCGTAAGATCAAATCCACGCAACGGAGTGAGCTCCTGTCTCTTGTCCGGGCTCCTGCCAACCTAGCAGTTCGAAAGCATGCAAATGCAAGGAGATAAATAGGTACCACCACAGTGGGAAGGTAACAGCGTTCTGTGTCTAGTCGCACTGGCCACGTGACCACGGAATATTGTCTTTGGACAAACGCTGGCTCTATGGCTTTGAAACAGGGATGAGCACTGCCGCCTAGAGTCAGACACAACTGGACTAAATGTCAAGGGGAACCTTTAGCTAAACCATTTTGAGGGCATTTTCCAAATTGCTTGGGTTATGTTTGTTTGTATTTAATTTCTATACTGGTGTTTTACAAGTGTAAGGGACCAAAGGTGACTCACAAATAATTGAACCAGTTGGACTAAAACTATAATAAATAACAAAGCAAAACAAATTAAACATACATATAGTAAGACCTTTAAATGGTCATCTTAAATATTTGAAAGTTTTTAAAACACACTTAAAAAAAATCAATGTAACATCCTGGAGAGCCTCAACCTTGCTCAATTTAGATATTACAAACATGCCTACAAAGACTGGTATTTAATTGTCACTGAAAGGACAAGAAAAGAGTTCAACCTAGCCTCCCAAGGAAAGGCATTCCATAACCTGGGAGCAGTGGCAGAGAAGGTTTTCTCACATGCTCTTGTAAAACGTGCCCATGAGGGCAATGGGACCGAGAAATGGGCCTCCTGTAAAGATCTTGGGAGCTAAGAAAGCTCATATGGGGAGATAAGAGTTTTTCATTTAGCCTTTACCCAAGTAGGACTTTATAGATCATAACCAGCACTTTTCCATGGAGAGATAAGAGTTTTTCATGTAGCCTTTACCCAAGTAGGACTTTATAGGTCATAACCAGCACTTTGAAAAGGTCCTGGGAATAGGCTGATGGTCAGAGCAGCTGTCCTAAGATGGGGAGCTATATGCTGCTCCTTGTCACTGACCCTAGTCAGATCCTGGGAATAGGCTGATGGTCAGAGCGGCTGTCCTAAGATGCTGCTCCTTGTCACTGACCCTAGTCAGCAGTTTGGCTGCTGCATTTTGACCCAGCTGAAGTTTTCAAGCTATCTTCAAAGGCAGTCCCATGTAGAAGATGTTACAGTAATCCAAGCAGAGTGTGATTAAGCCGTGTGTCACTGTAGCCAAATAATCATAAATAAGTATTTAACAAATTACTGCCAGCACAAAATGTCCCAGCGCTGCTTGTGCTGTTGTTTACTGGAGGTAAGGTAATCCCCTGTTTTTGAAATGAATGGGACCTAACAGGCAAACATGCTATGCTCAGATCTTCCTTTATCTGTCTGAAGCGGACTGGGCTGCAGAAGGTGAACATATTCGGCTCACCTATTGCCTTGGAAGTTATTTCTGCTTGAATCTCTTGGGTAATATAGCTTTCTTCAACCTTCTGACCTCCAAATGTTTTGACATTTGACTCCTAGAATTCCTGGCTATTTGCTATATTGCCTGGAACTGATGAGAGCTGAAGTCCCTCTGGGAAGGTGAGGAAGGCTGAGTTAGATCGTTTCAGCTTCCTTTGGGCAGATCACAGAAATTTCAAAGTCTCCCAACTGAATGTGGGCAGCAAATGAGGGAGAAGGAAATCTGTTACACTCTCCTCCCACTCTTTAGGGTACCAGGAAGCCGCTGGTATTGTTGGCAAAAGGTCTACCAGGGTCTTCCCAGAGATAATTGGCTTGTTGGCTATCCTATTAGGTCTACCCAGGACTCAAAGAGGATGTTTCTTCTGGATCAATATTCGTTGAATCAGGCTAAATATCTCACCTGTGGCACCAGGAGAGCTTGCATGCAGATTCTGGAGGCGTGGAAGAGACAGGCAGACTGCATACATTATGATGAATCGAGTAATAAAGATTACCCTATATTTGCCCCCAAGCTCTAGTTGCCTTCACGGCTCTCATCCAGGTTCATCTTAACAGCATTAAAAGCTTAAGACAACTAATCCAGCTCTCCTGTAGTATAAGACTGGGTGGAGCTGGGACTGAGCATGCTTGGTCAGGCAAAAGAAGGATTCTGATGTTACATGAGAATCTCTGGCCAGGGCTTCAGTCCCTGAGGGTTGCCTGTCTTTCTCCTTCCCTGGATCCAGCAGCAGCAGCAGCAGCAGCATTGATCATTTTGGCTTATTTACTCTCACCCAGGATGAGTGTCATAGTATAGAGCTGCAGCTTGCCTTGCCATGTGAAAACTTTAGGGGGAAATGGTGTGTGCCAAAGGGGCTTGCTTGTTGTTGTTTAGTCGTTTAGTCGTGTCCGACTCTTCGTGACCCCATGGACCAGAGCATGCCAAGCCCTCCTGTCTTCCACTGCCTCTCAGAGTTGGGTCAAATTCATGTTGGTCGCTTCGATGACACTGTCCAGCCATCTCATCCTCTGTCGTCCCCTTCTCCTCTTGTCTTCACACTTTATTAACATCAGGGGCTTTTCCAGGGAAAGGGGCTTGCTACTACTCTCTTATTGTAGATAGTAACCCAGTGTTTTGGGTTTCTCAGAAGAAAGGGCAGGAGAAGAGAATGTGCTAAACTCAATCTAATAATCATTATGGTGAAGGCCTTAAACTGGTTTTCCAGCTGTCCCAACAGTTGTGCCTTTATTATATTCTGCCCTACTGTATGGCATCTGGGTTAGGGTTCTGACTCCATTTATGGAGTAACGATACCCTTGTTGTTACTGCAGTTTGTCTAATGTATGTCATATATTCCCTTTTGGCCAACCTATAGGGGGCTCACCTAGCACTGATTGACTCACTGATGACGGCCTATGCAGTAGAAGCCACCAGCTCTCTAAGTGTTGCACCGGGGACTGACACCGCTGCCATCTCCTGGGACCAGAAACTTCTACACTGGATAGACATGGTAGTGTATTTGTTCCTTTTATCATGTGTGTGTTTGATCCTTCCTGCAAGAAACTCAGGGTTGCATGTATGGGTCATCCTACTTTACCAAGGGCTAAGTCGAAAGACCCAGGAAGCTTCATGGTGGGAGCCCATGACATCTGGCCATCCAGTCCATATTACCAGTGGCTTAGAAAACATAAGGCCATTTAGCTGGTTGCCATTGAGTGCATAGATTGTGAGTCTCTTGGATATTCATGAAATCCCTGTAAATCATACAAGCTCTCAGAATATGGGCACAATCTAAATATAATATTTCTGTGAGCCTCTTTGAAACATAATATCACATGAAAATGGTGTGTGTGCACCCATTTAATTAAGTTAGATAGAATATAAGCAATTTCTTGGTTCTATTTTAGAGTGGGATCAAAAGAACACACCTGTTTGGGGAGATGTATGGGTACTCTGACCCATTTGGGAGGAGGAGGCAAGAGAGTTTTAGACTGACTGGGATTTCTGGGACCAGAGTGACAGTGTTGCCTCTTTATAGCATATTTTTGATTGCTTCTGTGCAGGTCATTAACAAGATACAGCAAAGTGCCGAGCAGGAATGTTCTCAGCGGTCTGCTCCTGGTACCGATGGCCAAACCCAGGCCTCCAATAGCGGTCCCAAGGTGCGTGTGCCTTGTTACTGATTCTTCCTGAGTGAAATGGTTATATGACGAGGGAGGCTGGTGGGGGACCTGGGACCTGGGCTATGTTGTAAGTGGGGTTGAGTTTTCTCACGCAGCCTGTGACATTTGCCTCATTATCCAAAGTGTGTTGAGGAAAAGAGCAAAGGGTGGCTTTGACCACCCTGCCTTTGTTCTGTGTATGCGCCATGTCCTTTTCTTCTGGCCTAGTTTTAGAAGATGGAACTTGCTTCCTACGGTGCCAGCCTCATTAGATGAGGTGGCCTTTGCCTGCTCTCTAGCCCAGCTGATGGGTGGCCCATTTGTTCACCTGCGCAACCAGTGACCCCTCACACCTGTTTCTGTGAGCTTGGCTCTGGTACGCCAGAGTTGTCTCGCAGTTGGGGATTGGGTTGGCTGTCTGGGAGGTGGTCCCATCACTACTCCTGGTGGGCATGATGGCCTCTTCTGAGTCAAGCTGCCTCTTTGGCTGCCTGTGCTTTGAGAGCAATACAGTCAAGGCGTGGTATGTGACAGAGCTGTCTTTTTCTGCATCTCTTTCCTCCTCTCCCCATTGCCTTTCTCCTTCCTCTGCTTCAGTGTCCCACAAGGTGGTACTGGAAACTGGTTCCTGTAAGTGGGTGGCTTTACTTGTTATCTCCCTGCTGCCTCAGCTCCTGTGCTGCATGCCAGGGGGACCCAGAGCAAAGGATGCTGGGGGTTTAGGACCTTGGAGCAGAGGTGCCGGCACGATGCAGGGAGGGCTGCCCTTGAGAGCGGTGTTGGGTGACCTAGTTGCCCTGCTGCCAGTGGGGTGGGCACTGGGCATCTGCCCCTAGGAGATGGGAGGTGCTGAGGGCAGAGGGGATCCCTGCCCTGGGCAATAGGAGTGTTCCTGTGTGAGACACCAGCTGCTGGGATGCTGGTATATCCCAGCATCCTTTGTTCTCATCTCCCTTCCTTCCACAATCTGCACCTGCTTTGGTCTCTCTTAGCTCCATGTCTCCTCTTGTGGGGACACCGGACAGGCAGGATACTAGTTGTGGGGGTATTCTTGGCTTTATGTGTCTCTTCTTCCTGCCCAGATCATGTGACCTTCTGGGGGTTATAGGTGGGGCTTTTGGGGAGAGGGGTGGAGGAGGAGGGCTAACAGACAGGCAGCGGTGCTTGCCTTGGAGCGCTACAAGGAGCACCAGGTGTCCTTTGCGTAGAAGGGTTAAGAGACAGCCAGAGCAGGGCAGCTCATGCCTGGAGCTGGCAAGGAGGAACAGCATGCTAGTGGACATGCCATGCCATGATCCCCACCTCCCCTTCTGTGTTGCCTTCTGCCCCACCCTAACCCCATACCCATCTGCTTGCTGCCCCGCAGTACTTAGTGCAGCCAAGAACGTGACTGCAGGATGCTTTGCCCAAACGTTCTTGTAGAGGAGTGCAGTGTATATTAGTTTGCAGGAGTGTGGGGTCCTCCAGAGGGAATCAGGATTCCCAAGTGCATGCTGGGAGGTTTTTGTCAAGGTTACCATGAGATCCACAGTGCCCCTTCCAGTTGCCCCTTCCTCCTCCCTAGTCTTGCAAGCCAGCAACCCTTCCCTCCCTTTCCCCCCTCCTTGCGGGGTGCATTGATCAGGCTCTCTCTTTTCTTTGCTGTTGCATCCAGCATGCCATCGCTTTTTGTTTGAAGGAATCTGGGAATAAGCCTCCTGTGGTAATGTATCCGCCGGCGCGCGCCCGCCTGCCCACCCACCTGCACAATCTTGCCATTCACTTGGGTTGTTCTTCTAGAACTTCTGGCTGTTCCTGCTGCAATGGGCCTGGCTCCCTTCCCCGCTGCTGCTGCTGCCCAACCACCACCTTTGGGGCTTCGAGAGGCAAGCTCCCCGTGCCTCAGGCCTCTTCAGGGACCTTCCCCATGTTCACAACAACTGGCAGCTGTTCCAGGCGGCTGCGGGAGTTTGCAGTGTGAAAGGCATGCCTTTCGACCCAGCCTTTGAGGCGTTAATCTCATACCTTTCCTACTTTCGTGAAAGTTTCTGGATGTGAGCCCTCAGAAGTCCCTTTCCGTCACCACAGAACTCTCTGGTTTCATGTCCCCATTTGCTTGGGTATCCTTTTTCTCAGGATTTTTTTAAGGTGGGCATCTGTTTTTGAATCCCAAGATGTGTCCATGTTTTGGGAAGTTAAAAGCATCGGGTACGGCCACCCGCATGTAGACAATGCAGACACTAATGCACACGGGCTGAACATTCTTGGGTGTTGGCAGTGGTCCTATCTTGATCCCCACAATGAGGTTTTCTGCCTCTTCTTCATTTGGGGGTCTCCCCTTTCCCCATCTTCCCCCTAACTAGCAAATATCTATAAACAGTAGCGGGGGGGGGAGTGGAGGGCTTGTTTGAATCCCTGGGTTCAGCAGGATGGGAACAGGGAGAGCAGGTAGGGCAGGAGGTGCCTGCCCAGTGTTTGCTACGTATGGCCATCTTTTCTGCGCTGCACAGAGGTGTAACCCTCCCCCCCCCCTTCTGTTCCTCCCTCCAGCTCATTGCAGCAGGAATGGAGGTGGCTTGTGTGCCTCCTTTTTTTCTTCCTTTTTCTTGGTTCTTTTTGCTGGCGTGCTGGTTGTCTGTGTCTGTCTGTCTGTCCCTCCTTCTCCCTTCCCGTCTTTGTCCTAAGAACTGTCGACGCACGGCCTGCCCTGCTCTGTGTGTGTCTCTGGTGTGGGGGCTGCCTTTGTTGTCTTGTCTGCTGTGTCCTGGGGTGAGGACAAGCATGTCTGGAGTAGGAAATGAAAACCCCTGCCATTACATAACCCGGGAGGGGGCGGGGGGGGGAGCCCAAGGGACAGCTCCTCTGCCTTCTCTCCCATCCAGTGCAGATCTTCCCATCTAGTGACCACCTTCCCGCCTCCCCCC